TATATATATATAGAATTGCCGCTTATGCGGAAAAAGGTAAATATTAGATTAGTGTTAATAATAATATTCCTAAAACTAAGTTCGAAATTAAACAACTTTAATACCGGTTATATTTTTTTCTTTAGTTTTCTGGTTTAATTTCAGCCCTAATATTCCAAGTTTGGAATTAACTCACTCAACACATCAAGATGAACTGTATCACTCAGCACCGTTGAAGTCTTTCGAGGGAGTCGGGGATGTTTAGTTGAGAGATAAACAGTTGGAAGTTTTAAAATATTTTTTTCATTTTGCACACATTCTCAAAACAGTAAATTATATTCACAAATCTTTTACTCATAATTTACATAGGATGTTCATGCGATATACTAAGTGAAATGAAAACTAAAAGAGCACTGAAATCACCTTAGCGGATGGACGCAGTACGTTTCTATTCAGCACATGTGACGTCATAACCAATCAGGCATCGATTTTAATTGCATCACTTACGGAGGCTTTTTGGGACTATTTAAATGTTTAATAATGACTAAATTTTGGATTAAAAAAGCAATCAGATTTTCAGTTTCAGGAGAGAATTTCCAATAAGTTAAGATTGAAAATAAAAAAAATTACGAGATGCTCAAATTGTCCGTTATCGTTTAATTTACGTTTCGCAAACGCTTCTCACCCCCCTCTTCCCTCATTATTTTTAACTCAAATGAGCATCAGATACTCCGAATACAAAGCTTAAATCGGTATGGCTCTACTTTTTAAGCAGTGGAATAATGTATTTATCTACCAGCAATAAATTGCGTGCAACCGTAATTAGTTGTATGCGTTTTGAATGTGTCAGGCTAGAATTTTCCCTTATTTATATTTTAGTTTATGTCATCCCTTACCTGCCGAAAGTCTTCTAAACTTTTCTGTGTTTTTTTCTCATACAACTAAAGGGATAAAAAATTTCTATCTTTGATTTATTAATTTGATTTCAGGTGATTAATGTTTTTAAAATCTCGAGAAGAAAAATTTAAAAATCATGTTTACCATTAACAATTTAATTGTTACTAATAGGCTTCACTACAAGTTCGCATAAGCACCACTTGCCCATCCCTCAAAGATTGTTATACAATCTTAGATGGTTTGCCTTGCAAACCATGCTCGTTTTTCTTGCTACTAAATTAATACCGTTTAAAATATGTTCTCGATTGAAATCATAAGAATTTAAATGAATTATTAAAATTTTTACAAGTAATTCTTTTTTTAAAAATTTTAATTTTTATTTTATAGGTAGTAGCCACAATGTGACAAATAGGGTTGCCATAATTTGGTCAGGTTTGGTCCTTAATGTTAATTTTACTTTTTCCATATTTCCCCATACCACCAGAACTTTTTTTTCGAATTGAAAAAATTTTGCACACAGTTATAAAATTCGTCCAACTAAAGAAAATTTTATAAAAAAAAATAACTTTCAGTAAATATTTATTAATTTTCTTATTTTATTTAATGTAAGTGGAAAAATTCTGAATTGTAAGGTCTACAATTTCTTACATAACTTTAAAGAATGTAATTTTACAAGACAAAATGCAAAATTTGGGCGAAATCGGTCAAACAGAGCATGAGAAATCCAATTTTAAAAATATGGTATATTTTAAAATCTCTTTGCCTTTTCTTTTAAAAAGATTTTTTCTTACGCTTTAAATTTGAAATAACTCACAAAATAAGTAACATTTTGTAATGAAAATATTTTTACTAAATTTGCAATATAGCGTTTAATTATGATCGTGCTGTAAAAAAAATTAGAATAGACTCAAGTTTGCAATATAAATGTCTGTTAAACTAATTATACCTACTTAATATTTTAAAAAGATTTTTTATCAAGTTAAAGAAAAATATTTTCTTCATATATTAGTATGTTAAATTTTAAACACACTTTAAATTTTAAACAATTAGCTTACGACCCCTCTGACACTTCTTTCAAAAGAAGAAAAATTTCCATTGAAATTGGAACATTTTAAACATTGTAAAAGAATGCAATATACACTATTGGGAAAAAGACTAAGTTTATATGAAATTTTTTGGTCTAAATTTTTTTTACACTGCATTTATTAACAGAATTGTCTTCATTGATATTAGTATTACCACAACAATCAGAGTTTGAGTAATACATGTGGAGTATATTGTAAAGCAAACAACACGGGGAAACACATTAAAGTAATAGCAAAACAATATTTCAATTAAATATATATAAAAAATATTTTTTAGCTTTCTATGATTTTAAATTAGAAACTTATTTGTCGTTCTAACTACTAGCACTGTATGCATATAAATATTACCACAATAATATTATACGTAAAAACAAAATAAAGTTTAAGCTTTAGAAAACAAAATAAAGATAAAATTTAAGTTTTTTTTATTAATTGTTAATAATTTAATTTGATACAAATCAATAAAATTAGCCATCGCATTGTAAATCCAGTTAAACATACAATCTCGTTAAAATGAGGAAATGCATTTTTCTACGTAATTAGAATTAATAACTTACCAATTGTTGAGGGCTGAGTCCGTCAAAAATATTTCTAATATATTCATTCAAAACGTTTTAGAAAATATGTTCTATATTTTTAAGCATTCGCACCTTTATTTTCTATTAACCTATTGGATTGTCAAACTCATACTATTATTTTTAAAATATGTTAAGTCTTTCAAAGCAATTTTGAATTTATCTACTTGATAGATTTTTCTTTTTTTTATTCTATCTCACTTTTTAGTAATATGAAAACAAACTCTGCAGACGTTTGAGTAGTGCAACAATCGATTTGTAATTCCTTTTTCTAGCTTTCGAGAAATTATGCCTGTCACCTGTCGTCAAGTAAATCGCAACTGGCGGTTGCTAAGGTTTTTTTCAGCGCCAAACAAATATGAAGCAACATTTCGTGAATTTGAAATAGAATCATCCTGGTTGGGCAAATGATAACGCTTTATTACCCGTTACCAACCTTGTGTGTAATTAATTGTTTGATTGATAGATTAAAATTTCTTTGCTGCAATTTCACATGACCTGTAAACATTGGAGTTAAGCTAGAAAATGAAGTCATTCAGTGGTTCATGTATTTAGGATTTATATTAATGGTGAAAATAATATATATAAAATGTCACCAAATAATATATTATATAATTTGGTGACATTTCCACCTTCATAAAATTATTAAGATCGCTGCCTTATTCTCAGTTTTTTTTTTTAAGATTGTTATGAGACCAGATGATACAGAATTAGGAGAAGTTTTTAAATATTAAAACATTAGACTACAAATGCTTTTCATTTCCATAAAACTGTGGTTTTTCTCCATATGGAGGTTTTGCACTATTTTCAGAATGAACATAGACAGCGCTATCTTTAGATAGCCTTAACTTGTCCTTACACAGTCATGAGTAATTGTTGCAAACTCACAGCATCACAGCAGTTCTTAAAATAGCATATTATTCGAAAAAAGCATTATTTCATATTACGACGAAACCTTCCAAAAATAACTTTAAAAGCAGGATTTAATTTCAAAGATGCGGAATTTAAATCATACCACGGCGAACGCTGGGCTCAAATGGCGCTACAACCAAAAATTTCTACATTATATA